AGGCAGAATTTGAATCCAGGTCTTACAAAATCCAAGTCTAACCCTCTATATACTACGTTGGCTCTTAGTACCCAAAGCTGAATGTAGTATTTCAGGTCTGACTATTGCTAACTACAAATTGGGTCTCCTTTTATCTGGATACTACACTTGTATTAATGGACCCTAAAACTGCATTTTGGGGTGCTCTTATTGAACCTGAAGTCAGCTAAACTCTCCTGCTGTTAAACTTTATCTCTCCTATCCTGTAGCTGGGCAGATGATTTTTGAACCCAAGTATAGGACTTTACATTCATCCCTATTACACATCCCATCCAGTAAATTCCAGCACACTGTTACAACTGGCCCTGTTTCTAATCGCCTTCAGGACATCTATACATGGATCTTCTTGCCCTAAGTGTAACCTGAACACAAACATCTTCATGCCATGTTTCTTTGCTCAACCCTCAGCCTCTTCTCTCTCTACCTCAACATTTGCTTTTTACCTCTAGCTCCGAGAGTAGTAATCAATCAACATTAGTATTCCTGGAAAAGGTAATGATTTGTCTCATAGCCCCACTCAGAATACCTGTAATTTTCTCAAGAGAAATTCCACTCCCTGGCCACCACTCCTTTATACAGGGTATCTGCCCCCTATTAGAATGGAAGCTTAAAGACAGGGACTCTTTTGTTTAAAAAAAATCCCTGGAACATAGTAATAAATCCCCTCTCCATTTTTATTTATTCAATCCATGCTAAACTCATAAAATGTTAGAGTTGGAAGAGATCTTAGAACAGACTTGGAGTCAAGAAGTGCCCACAGATACAAGTGGAATGTGACTTGGCCAAGATCATATAGTTAGTGGGTATCAGAGCAGGGAGTCAAACCCTGGCCTCCTTACAAAGATTCCATCATCTTAGACCGCCCCAGTAAGCTGCAGTTCCTTTCTGATTGTCCCATCTCTGTTAGTGTTGTTCTTTAATCTCTCAGTCTCCAAATCTTAGTCATCTTTGACTTTATCCTATCACTGGATTTTGCCGTTTCTTCATTTAAAATGTCTCCCAGGTCTAGCCCTCCCTCTCTATTTCCACTGATACCTTTCTGATGTTGGAGATTCTCATCATCTCAAACTAGGATTATATAACGGCCTTCTAGAGCTAGACTCCTTATCCTTCTAGTCATTAACCCACAATATCTCCTTACGCTCACTCTTGTCCATGTGCCATTTGGTCATGGTGTTTTCTAGGCAAGTCACTTAGTCTCTGTCTCAATTTCTTCATCTGTAAAATGGCAATAACATGTACCTTCTAAGGTTATTGTGAGGATAAAATGAGATATTTGTAAAGCACTTTGCAAACCTTAGAGCCCTAAATAAATGCTAGCTATTATTATTTCTGAATTTCTAAAACTTACAAAATATTCACATAGGGTCTCTCATGCTAAACTGGTCTTTCTACAGTAGCAGGTTACAAGCACACAAATGGCTTTCTCCCACCATATGACACCTACCCTGTCTTAGCATACTTTTCCCATCTCTTCTCACCAAACCTTCTATGTATTCAAATACTTAGTTCAGGGTCAGCTAGGTGGCACAGTGGATAGAGCACTGATCCTGGATTCAGGAGGACCTGAGTTTAAATCCGGCCTCAGGCACATAGCACTTACTAGCTGTGTGACCCTGGGCAAGTCACTTAACCCCATTGCCTAGCCAAAAAGAAAAAGACTTAGTTCAAGTTATATCTCCTTGAGCAAGCCCTCCCTAGCTGTAGGAGCCTTCTGTCCATACTTTCTTCCTTCTCTGAACTTCCACTGCACTCAGGAAAAGAGGTTGTGAGTTATTGTTACACTGATTTAGCAATCACCAGATATGATCTACTTTGTACTTTAATTATATGAATATCTTAGCTCTCCAAACAGACTACAAGCTTCTTGAAGGTAAGAGCTATGTTACAATTTCTTCTGCCCTACTTCTTAGAACTTAAGTGCTCAATGGCTAGCATATACTGATGATCCTAAGGAATTGTATACTTAGGGAAAATATTAAAAGAGAGAGAGAGAGAGAGAGAGAGAGAGAGAGAGAGAGAGAGAGAGAGAGAGAGAGAGAGAGAGAGAGGAGAAAGGACCAGCAGCAGGGCCGGTTGAAGCTCCACTGTAGTACCATGGAAAGAATGCCAAGCTTGGGGTCATAGCACATCAGTTTAAATCCCAGCTCTGCCACTTATTCCATTGTAGCCAGGGGCCCAAGTAACCTCATCTTTCTAGATCCATTTCCTCCACTGTAAAATGATAACTTTGGATCAGGTGACCTCCAAGGTCTCTTCTGGAGCTGCAATCCTGTCCCTGTTTACCGGGCATAACTGGGAAATCACTCATGATGCTGGGAAGTGAGGAGTTGGATTTTATTATCTCTAAGGCCCTTCTCAGCTATGAAATTCTATGTTCTAATGAGAAGCATTATAGGGGGAGGACAAAAAACCCTAGATTTGGGGTTGGGAGACCTAAGAGGGACCATCTTCTACCTGCCACACAAGCTTTATGATAACAGGCACTTAGTGAGTTACAATTTCACTGAGTCAGTTTTCTCATTTGTAAAATGAGAAAATACGTAATAATGTAAAACTTAAGTAACACTTAAGACTACCTACCTCACCGGGCTGTTGTCAGGAAACCCAAGCCCTTTTTAAACCTCAAAGCACCATATAAATCTGAGAAACTCTTAAGATTTCTTCAAAATTTACTATTTTATGTTCTAACAATCCATTCAATTCCCTGCTAGAATGTAAACTTTTTGAAGGCATCGACTTGACTCAGCACATATCTTGACTCAGCACAATGCCTTGTACATTGGAAGGACCTAATACTTGTGATGAATTGAATTATTGAAAGATCCAATTCACCTCTCACATCTTCCTTCCTACATAATAATAATGATGATAATGAAAATGAGAGCATTTACCTTGTTTGTTACTGTTTACAAAGCTCCTTATAGTCACTATGTCATTTGGTTCTCACAACAAATCTATGAGGAAGGCGGTATATGTATCATTTTCTAGATGAAGAAACAGGCATAGAGAGGTTAAACAATGTGCCTGGAGCCACACCACCAATAAGCAGCAGGCAAGATTCAAACCCTGTTTTTTTTATCTTGGTGCCATGCACTTCACAAAAAAAAACCACACAGCTATTGCACCATTTAACACTTTTTTTTTTTTGGCTGAGGTCCCTAGGATATTCCATGTTCGTGGCTTCCTTCTAGCTTAGCAGTCTCTACTCTAAGGCCCTTCCCCCTCTGACATTCTACTATTGTTACCATCTTTGATCAGATGGCATTGCCTTTGCTTGATATATTCTTTCCCAAATGGGGAAGGGTTCCTTAATCTGGCAATAACAGGGCTGGAGGCAGTGACGTCCCAGACTATGATGTCTAGACCATAAACTCAAAGGTCATATGTACAGAAAGAGCTTTGATGATGAAACTTGAACTGAAGTTTTCTTTCTTTCTTTTTTTTTTTTCTGAAGTTTTCTTAAAATCAACCCAGTGCCCCCTGTCCTACATGAGCAAAAGCCCTGCAGCCTCCTTACATTAGTGGTTTGGAGTGGCATCTTGTAAGCAGGTGAGCAGTCAGGACAGGATTGAAATTACCAGGAACTGCAGGTAGTATGACTGTCTCCTCCAAACTTAAGAGACGCCACTCACATACACACACAGACATGGGCTCCAGGGCAAATGAGAGAGAAAAAAAGACCTCAGCATTCTTTTGCCTCCTTTCAGTTTAAACATTCATTTCACATTTTCCTGGAAAACTGGAGGTTTTTTCTCCTTCAAGAACCTATCCTGAGGGTATGGAGAGGCAATTACAAGAAGATAGATACATTATCCCCCCTCACCTCCTGAATCCTCCTTGTCCACAACTAGGACAGCCAACCTCTCAATCTAAAATGCACAGAAGGGCAGAGGACAAACTACACCCCACAAGATAGAAACTACACCCCACAAGAGGGACTTTGGATACTTCTGTTTAGAGGTTGGATCATCAGCATTCCCCACTTGGTGGTAAGAAAGTTCGATCATTTAGAATACAGGTGTTACTCAAGGGTCAACTGAAGGTGGGTGCTCTCTCTTTCTCTCTCTCTCTCTCTCTCTCCCCCCACACAGACACACACGTGTGTGTGTGTGTGTGTGTATATATATATGTATATATATGTATATATATATATACATACACATATATATGCATTTAGAATAAGAATCGTCTTAGTGCTGAAGCACAACTTAGAACGCTATAATGTTAGGACTGGAATGGACCACAGAGATCACCAAGGAGGAATCTGAATCCTAGAAAGTAGCAATTAACTTGCTCAAGATCACACAGATGACTGGAACAGAGCCAGAGCTGGGGTCACAGGATCATAGATTTAGAGCTGGAATTGACCTTAGAGGTCATGTAGTCTAATACTTAATTTACAAAGAGGTTAAATGATTTGCCCAAAGTCACACAAGTAAGTAACTGATTAAAATTAGGTATGAGCCTAGGTCCTTTGAATCCAAAGGATTCTGGGGCAGTGAGGTGGTACAGTGGATAGAGTGCTGGGCCTAGATTCAGGAAGACTCATCCTCCTGAGTTCAAATCTGGCCCTAGACACTTAGTAGCTATGTGACCCTGGGCAAGTCACTTCACCTTGTTTGTCTCAGTTTCTTCATTTGTAAAATGAGCTGGAGAAGAGCAAACCTCATATAGAGTCATGAAGAGTCAGACAACAACAACAAAAAATAACCACAAAACAATCTTTGCATCCAAAGCCAGGGCTTTTCCCACTGTACCACGCTGCCTTTTACTAGAACCCAAGTTTTCTGATTCCTCAGTCCTGCACCATCCCACTATAGTGGGATCCCTCTACGCTGGGGGCAAAGTCTAGGATTTCTCCCCATTTAGAGTTGGACCTTGAATTGACGCTGAAGTCAGTGTACTCGATCCTCTGGGGATTCTGAGCCAGGAGCAAACAGGGAAGCAGGGAGGGCTGGTGAGAAGTGGTTAAAACAAACTTTTATTTAACAAATTATATTAAGAATACAGATTAATAATCACACAGTGAAACTTCCCTTTATAAAATACAGGAGTCACCTAAAATAAATACAAAAGGTAATAACATAATGAGATCAATGCACAGTTAGTCCGATTCTGACAGCCCAGCAAATGCACAGCATCTTGACCCTGCCTGGCTACTTCATAAAGGGCTTCTTTCTTCATGGTGGTGTGAGATGATACAATCTTCCACGTAGATGTTCCTCTCTCAGCACGTAAGATAGAGAGTAAGAAGCTGAATAGGGTTAATTTGTTATTCCATGGTTGGCTTTTCAAGTCACCAGAATTAAGGGACACTTCTGCTCAAGCTTTCAGGGAGATTTGCCCTACAGGCCAATGAATCCTCTGTAATGGCCCAGTGGTAGCAAATGTGGTTTGACATGCTCACTGCTCCCATTTGGTGTCATCTTTGAGAACTTTTGAGTCCAACGTCCTCCAGGAATTACACACTCAGGTGGAAAGCTAGCAACAGGCTGCCTGCGGCAGCCATCTTACAAAAGAGTAAGTTTGATCCACCCATCTCATCTCAGAAGCATAGGATACAAACGACGGAAGGGACTTTAGAGATCATCTGGTCATAGGATGATGGTGTTGGAAGGAATCTAACCCAACTCTTTTACTTTACACAGGAAGAAAGTGAGTCCTCCCTGCCCCCTTCCCCAAAGGGGAAGTAACCTGTTCATCCTACACAGTAGCAGCAGCAGCAGCAGCAGCAGCAGCGCCAGGATTCAAACCCAAACCTCCTGACTCTACACCTTGCTCCCTTTGCACTCCATAACTCGTCTCATTTTACTGGTGAAGGAACTGAGGACCAAAGAGAATTGACTTGCCAAGGTCACCCAGGGAGTGAGCAGCAGAGTCAGAAAAACTAAGGGCTTCTGACCCCAGGTCCAGTGTTCTTTCCACTGTATACCACCCTGATTCTTACAATGGGAGGAAAATTCTGGTTTAAGGGATAGTCTGCAACTGAGCTACGGGGTAAGGGCAAAGCAGCACAATTCTCATCTCCATTGTCTTAATGGAAAGATTGACTCCTCTGCAGAAGGAAGATAATAACATAGTAGAGGAACATGTAGCTTGGCTTGTACCACGGGACGATGAATGGTAAGATGAGGTGGGAGACTGGGAAAGGAATGGAAGTAAGTACCTGTAGGGCCTAGAGAGACCCAAGATAAGGGACCCTTCACATCTTCAAGAACATTTCTAATTCTCCACTCCCACGCCAACTGTAAGGCCATTGCCTCACTGTGGGGTGGACGCTGGATAAAGCTATTCCAGAGAAGCAGCAGCTCTGGCAGACATTCAGGAAAGATCTAGACGGGTCCATTGTTCAAAGAGCCAACTTTAAGGATAAGAGGAGGAAGGTGGTCACCAAGAGGTTGTTGTCTAGTGAACATTTTTTTGGCCATGGCAATTACCTCACAGGGCCTTAGTCTTCTCCTCTATAAAATTATGGAGTTGAATAAGATCATCTCCAAGTTCACTTCTAGTTATAAATCCTATGATACTATGCAAACAGGAGAAATCTTCTGAGTTGCAAGTATCTCTATTCTAGATCCGGACATCATCATCTTCACCACGAATTCAGTGGTCCAGGTAAGAAGTCTGTACCTACACTGTACAGAGAAACTAGGTGACATTACAAAGGGTATTTCAAGACTCACAATGTCTTGCTGAGCACTGGCTCATCTGTCCTCCCAACCCTCTCTCCTACTCTAAGTGGGGAAAGAGAAGACAGAATTAGGAATCGTTTAAAAGGACTTATCACACATACATACACACATACACACACTCTAACACATGCCCACACCAATGTGTTCTGCCTATGGGCATCACACAATTATCCTAACCTGGTTTTTTTTTTTAAACAAATTTCACAGTCAATGTGCTACAGAAGCTAATTCCTTATTGTTAGTCTCAAAAATGTCACTACTGGTAACACACAGGTTAACTCAAGTTCAACATTTTGAACGATACGGCTCCATACTAAATACTGAAAACATTAGTTGACAACATGTCACCTGGAAACGCTTGAGACTGTTGTTTGGCCTGGGGAAGGTCAGGAAGGGAGCTCATCTGAAGGTATGTTCAGTGTTCAAGTGGTCCTTGATCTCTAAAAGCTTTTCTGAGGTGAGAGGCTTGAAGGCCCGAGGATAGTGAACCGTAAGAAAAGCCTAATAGGATTTAGACCTGGAAGCAATTTGAGATTATCTAATCCAACTCCCATCATTTTGTGGAAGAGGAAAACTAGGATCCAGTCAGGGTAAGTGATTTACTTGTCCAACGTCATGCAGCTAATAAGGAGACAGAATTTGAACCCAGGTCCTCTTGACTCCAAAAACTATACTCCTTTCTTGACACCATGCTCATCTTTCCCAGGAGATAAATGTCCATGTTCAGTGTTCTACCTTGAGCCTCAGTCTCCCCGATTCTGAGGGAGGCCATACTATCACATGCAAAGCCAGACTCATTCTAAAGGGGGAAGCTTTTGCTTTAAAAAATGGCCATCCTCATGAGTTCTCTTAGGTCTGCAGAACTGTAGGATTCAGAGTTGGAATAGACCTTAAAGATTAGATGGTCTCTAACCCTCCTTATAGACTGGGAAACTGAGGACCACAGAGAGGAAGTGACTTGCCCACAGTCACATATCAGGCAGAACTCTGACTTGAACCCACATCTCCTGACTCCCAGTCCAGCTGCCTTTCAATGAGAATGTAAGCACCCTGAGGGAAGGGACGATTTTTTCGCTCTTTGCATCCTTAGTGTCTAGTATAGTGTACTGTACACCCCAGGCACTAAGAAAATGCTTTTTGAACTGAACTGACTCTGTCGCCTCTCTCTGGTACCAAAGGGCTCACCTGATTCCCCCAGAAACAATGACCTCGTGTTATTCCTTTCATCCTGAATAACGACGGCGCAGCTCCTCTATTCTCTCATAGCTAGTATTCCTCTGAGAACACTGTTGCCAGAAACCAGCGGCAATCTTCTTCAGGTGCCATTAGATAAAACAGAGGACCTGGCACCTGGAGTTTCCAAACCCTCTGAGTTGCACCTTTCTTCAAATATTCAACATGACGAGTCTTAGGAAGGTCGAGGGCTTTTTGTCAGTTTTCTATGAAAGTGAAGAGGAGTAACCGCTTGCCTGCTCTAAGGGAAATAGGAAGGTTTTCAAGTAGAGGTCTTGAAGAAGAAGTCATGTGCTTTGTTTGTCCCTTTGCTTGACAGGGACATCGTAGAAGGGACTCCTTCTTCAGAAAGGCGCCTGGACCAGCAGACCTCTGCAGCTCCTCTGAGATCTGAAATGCTACGGGGGCTGCACCAGCCCAGTCACTCTGTCGTCCCTGCCAGTACAAAGAATCTACAAGTCTAGGAGTCCAGGTCAACACGTGCTAAAAAGTTTCGCTTGGAAAAAGAAAAGTTGGAAGGTAAAGATGATGAACTGAGAGACAAGTTCCGACTTGTCTTGAGACCAGTCACAGACCTAGAGAAGAGAGGGAAAAAATAAAGGCTGACTGACACTCAGATCCAGAGGCAGCAAATAGCCTTATGATGAGGATGAAACTCAACAGGCTTGACCACAGTGATATCCATGTTTTACTGACCTCTCTGGCTCTTGGTTATCACCTGCTAGGTTTCCTAATATCTGGCTGATTCTGAGTTGGGTATAAAACAAAAATGAGAAATTAGGTTGATCTTCAGCCTCCATGGAATTGGCTGAGAGCTTGGGGTGGGGGAAGGGCGGTCTCATGATCAATCCAAATATCACTCAGGAGTGATAAGACCCTAGAAGGTTCATATGGCCCATCTCCATTTTTTCTTTCTTTCCTTTTTTTTTAAAACAAGAGCAAACAGATTAAAATGAATACAAGAAGCTACCTTCATGGTGCAGTGAGAGGAAGGATAGCATGGAAACACAACACCGGACCTGGAATCAGAGGACCTGAGTTTGAATTCTCTCTCTGCTACCAAGTACCTGTGTGATCTTAGGCAATTTTCTTTCCCTCTCTGGGCCTCAAGCTTCCTATCCTCCACTGTTAGGGCTGAATGGAACCTTGGGTCATCTAGTCTAACCCCTTCTTCACACTATGGTTGGAAGGAGCAAACCTTACGCCAAATTTAAGACTTATGAGGGCAACATGAAAGTGCGTGGAAGGGAAAACAAGGGAGGGAGAGAGAACTAGTTTCCCTGGATTGGCCTTGGTGACAGCAGAAGAGTTTATGGACTGACTGTATGCACCCAAGGTATTTTTCAAAGCACCAGCTACCTGAGCCATCTCCCAGCTGGCAGCTGCTTCCTACAGCTGGGCACAGGTCTTAACAGTGTTGCTCAGTTTTGCCCTGTCATACCAGAGCTGTCATACCCAAACCACACAGGATAAAACAGAGTTAATATCATCCTCCAAATCAGATCTGGGGTTTGATGCTGATGTTAACTTACGTGCTTTTGTGAAAGTTGTTCTTTTTTTCCTGTGGCTTATTTGTCTATAAAATGCTAAGGGACATTTGCCCAGATGACAGGATCAAAGCTGGAAGGGAATTCAGGGATCTAATGCACCCCTTAATTTAGCAGATGGGGAACCCTAGGCCCAAAAAAGGGCTAAGTGCCTTGCTTAGGGTCACACAGAGGTGGGTTCTCCTGACACAATCTCATCCTCTCTTCAACACACTCTGCTGTGTTACATATGACATACCTGACCTACCTCTATCCTCCCCAGGGCACCATTAAGCACCCTCTCAAACACACTCTCTCCAGTATCTGGTGACACCCAAATTCTAAAAAATTCACACTCTAGTGAACTAGGGGAAAAAAACGAACAAAAAACCCACAACACTCCACAGCAAACAAATACAGACATAGCTGTGCAAAAACAAGTTTGTGCATCAGAGCAAGCCAGGAGCTACGGCAACACCAGTTATTAGGGCAAACACGTCTTCAATGGGATGGGGCCACTAGGACTATCAAAAAAAAGCCCAAACTTCCACTCAACACCTATTTAGTGGGAAGTTCTAGTTCACGGCCAGAATTTTGTGACATGGCCGTGACTTAGAAAAGCAGCACAGGTCAAATGGACTGTTCGAAATGACTTGTCACATGAAGAAGCATCATCCAGACATGCACCTGGCTTTGGAAAGCAAGCGAATCCCCATGCAGAGGCCCCATTCCTTGGGGGGGCAGGCAGGGGCAGATGCTCTGGGCAAGAGGCCTCCAGGAAGGTGCTTGGCTGAAGGGGTGGGAGGAAAATGGGACATTTTCCTCGTTCCATTTCAGCATCCAACCAGGTGAGTTGAGAGTGGACAAAGGCTCCCATGTGGCCAGTGAGGTACTACAAATGGGGTGGGCAAGAAATGGGCAAGTGGCTCCCTGTGTGACCTGCAGCCCAACAACTCCAGGACCATACTTGGGCTCTTCTCTAGAACATCATCCACCTTTGCTTGGGGGTGGAAGTTGTCTTTTCCCAAGAAATGAACAAGTCCAGTCTAGGGATCAGGGGTAACTGATGTTTCCAGAGAATTGTCCAATGGGAAGCCTCAGAGATCAGTTCTGGATGCATGTTCCCAAAGTTACCCAGTCCAGCATCTTAGTTTTACTCTGGTGGAAAGAGATACTTCCTTGAGCTTGATCCCGATTATAGCCAAAGGTGATTTTTTTCCAACAGGCTGCTTGAGGTTGTGTCACCAAAGGACCTGGGTTGATGGGCCAGCAAGCACCAGAGGTGCTGATGCAGGCTAAACCAACCCCATGAAAAAGTCAATTGAGGACAATTAAATTTCTTAGTGGTACGCTCACAGGTTAAGCACACTCGGTGGAATATTCCAGAGCCAACATTAGTCAAAGCCAGTCACCAGCCACCAGTCAGGGGATACCTTCAGTGTGTGACCAGTTTAACCATGTGACTATGGGACTCCAGAGGGACTTCCCAGGGGCAGGTTATGTTGTATTATACAGATTCGCCCTCTCCCTTTTTTCTTTTTAAGGGGCCATTGATCACCATGGCAAATGATTAAAGAAAAAAAAATTCCCAGGATGACTTTGGGATAAGGGTGGGGAGGCATTAGATAAGCAGATGAAAAATAATTTTACAATTTAAAATTCCAGAAACCATCACGTACAAACAATTGTGCCTCACTCCCCCACCCCCCTCAATGTTAAAGTGGGTGAAGAAGAAGGGTGGATTTTTTTTTTGTTAAAGAAGGGTCCTCCAAGGTCCATGGAAGGGTTTGGAGAAATGTCTCCAGGAACACTCCTCAGCTTTGGGATGGGGCTGCCTTCCCCTTTCAGTAGTATCTGTGTGTGTGTGTGTGTGTGTGTGTATGTGTGTGTGTGTGTGTGTGTGTGTGTGTGTGTGTGTGTGTGTGTGCCGGGCAGCTCTTCTCCACTGGCTCCTGCCCCTCCTTCCCTTCTGGTCCTCAGGACTGCGGTATCTGCTGACATCTAGTGGGACTGGGTGGGAGTCTGGCAGCGGCACTCTGCTCCGTCCGGAAGCTGTAATCGTACTGAAGAGAAGAGAAAGAATTCAGAGGGATGTCTTGTCCAGCGAATAATGAAAAAGCAGGATTTAAAAAAAAAAACATCCCCCCACCTCTTCCCTGCCAAAAGCCCAGCCAAAATGACTGGGACACTTAAATGAAGGTGGAATGGAAAGTGTGATGGAGTCCTCAGGTCTGTGGTCAAGTGCTGGCTCTACCACTAAATTATCTGGGTGCCTTTGGTCAAGTCACTTCCCTTCTCTTGGCCTCAGTATCTTCCTCTGCAAAATTGGGAGTTTGACAAGAAAAAAGCACGTACCAAGGACAACAATGAGAAGGGAAACAACAATAACAAAAACACAACTAAAACCTGCACTGAATGACCTGTGATTATTCACACAGGGAATCAACCAGCCTCGTTTCTGGCCCATGGTCTCCATAGTCATCATCCACAACAGTGGGTCCTGTATAGATGAGGCTCTTGGCATCCTTGTCATGATTAATGCCAGTCCAAAACCAAATGCCACTAACCAACTATCAAGCGAGCTTAGCCCACGTGGCAGTGTGCTGAGAGGAGACAAACCCCTGCCAGTATCAACCCTAAGACTCTGGTAGCAGCAGTCCACAACCTTGGTCCCAAACGACCCTGGAAGAGCAGTGAATTTCCCCCTCCCCAGGCCTTCAGCCCTGTAGACATGATCCAGGGAAGCAATCCCTGACACGTTGTCTCTACAGGTGCTGTACCCCATGTCACAACTGCTGAATTCCTAGAGAAGAAAGTTTTTGTTACCAAAGTCCTTGTCATTGTCAGATGGCTCAGTGGCAGAAACAGAAGGTTTTAGCAAGGGAAATGACACTAAAGAAAATACACTACATCTTCCTTGCTGTGGCACCTAAGGACCAGTGGGCCCACAATCCCCATCAGCCCTGACGCCAAAGCCTCCAGTATTGGCTGTCTCTTCCTAATGAAATGTAATCTGTGAGAGCGAAGATTATCTTGATTTTATGTCTGTACCCCCAGTACTTAGCACAGAGAGGGCACTAAATGTTTTTTCATCAATGATTTATTTAATGATGGCCAAGTTCGGAGAAGAGATGAGGAAATTCATCTTCCTCCTTACTTTGGAGAAGTGGGTGGAACAGTGGCATATATAACCTGACTTCATTGATGTATTTGTTAGTTTTGCTAAACTATGTTTCTTCTCCTCTTTTAAAATTCTTTGTCTTAGAGGATCAGCCTCTGGTTGGGGAAGAGGGATATATTCAGAAATGAAATTGATAAAAAACCAAAGTCAGAGAGAAAAACTTTAAATGAGGGGGTTGGACCCCCATCGTACCCAAGCTGTTCTCTAGGTCTACCATTCTATGTTTTAACATTGTGTGCTCTATGTTCTAACATACTATGTTCTAATGTCCCTTCAAATTCTAAGTCTATGCTCTAATCTACTATGTTCTGAAGTCCGTTCTAGTTCCAGTATTCTGAGGCTTATTTAAAATTTCATGTTTTATGATGCATTGAAGAAGATAAGAAGGTCAACTCCAAATGGGAAAATGGCCCTTTCATATCAAGGCATCTGATGACAATTACTGAAAGAAAGTTCAGGAATAAATGAGATTGAAATGAGACACTAGTTGCAAGAAGGCCTGAGCTACAGGATTGAGGTTCCTAAGAGCTGGAGGGGAAATCAGAAGGTAACTCATTACTCATTACAAGGAAGGGAAGAAAGGGGGCCTTTAAATTTTTTCTTAAAATAAAAATGAAGAAGCCAGACTGCTAAAGGTCAAGGCTTATGGCTTCAGGAAGATACCACTGTCTTGCTGATAACAGAATATTTTCTAAGTGTCTACAGATCTTCTCTATAGGTTTTTTCAGGGTAAAATGGGGAGAGGGTAGTTAGACTGGAAGGTTTTCCCCAGCTTTGTCTGATACTCCATGATTTCCTTTTAGTGGCAGATATAGACACCAAACAAAGGAGGAAGGTCTGAGGTCTTAGGTCCTGCTTCTTCACATTCCCCTTTGGGCCTTATTTTCTCTATTTTTAGGGTACTGAATGTGATTTCATCCATGTAGGGAACTCCTGGGTAAGGAAACTCCTCATGTAGCTCAACACCTTCTCTGTAGCTTCAGGGAGAAGAGAGTTTCCTTGAGCACTGGGAATGATCTGCCCAGTACCACAAGCTAGCATTTGTCAAAGGTGGTTCTTGAATGCAGGTCATCCTGGCTTCGAAAATGGGTCTCTTTTCCCTAGTCTGCCATGTCCATCTCTTTTTTTTTTTGGAGAGATCAGCTCTATTCATTCATTCATTCATTCATTCATTCATTCATTTATTTATTTATTCATTTTTGCGAGGGGTTAAGCGACTTGCTCAGGGTCACACAGCTAGGGAGTATCATGTGTCTCCTAACTCCAGGGCTAGTGCTCTATCCACTGTGCCACTTAGCTGCCCCTACCATGTCCATCTTTGGGGTAAGAAGTTGGTTTTGGGGGGTGGGTGTGCAGCAGGGTACAGTGGACAGAGTGCTAGCGTTGGGAGGCAGGGAGACCTATGCTCAAATCATGCCTTTGATATAGAATATAACCATGGGCAAGTCATTTGACCAGTCTCTCCGTGTTCCCAGGCACTCTCTCAGATTATTAGTTTCTTATGTCTATCAGTAGATCTGCTTTGGATAGAGAGAGTTTCAATATCAAGAGATCTGTACGTGGATTGAACCACAAATCCGGACAAAAAAAATAGTGAGGGCGCTGGACTAGATCTCTAAAGCTCCTTTTGGGTCTCCTAGCTTATGTTCCAAGATCTCTTCCAGCTTAATAGGCTCATTTAAATCTAGATCTCAAAGGGACCTAGAGGTCATCTAATTTAATCACTTAGTTTTATAAAACATAAGCAAACTGAGGCCCAGAAGGCGAAGGACTTGCCCAGGTCACACATATAGGAAATAGTGGAACAAGGTCTTGAAGTCAGCTTTTCTAGACTCTATTCCTTTTTTTTCTTTCTATCATGCTATGCAAAGCTTTGATATTTGATATTTAAGGTCCTTTCCAGCTTTGACATTCTATGGTGCAGAGTTCTCTGTTCTTTGTTTTAATATTTGATGTCCTAGGGTCCCTTCTAGCTCTAATATTCTAGGAGGAGAGCTTTCCAGGCCCCTGGGCAGATTTCTTGCTATTTACCTTTACTCTTGGCTGGAAGAGTGCAGGAATCAGTGTAAGCTAAAGTCTTTTGACTCTCTGTGCCCTTGCCCCTTTGCCCTCTACTCTGGGGCAGTTCACCAGACTGGTCTTGGCTTTTTTCCCATTTCCCTTAAATGGCCACAGGGCTTCCTGAGGCATTTCCTGGGGATTCTGGGCCCAGGTCAGGGTTAATGGCTCTCAGCAGTGCCTGGGGCCACTGACTTCTTTCAGCAGTTAGGAATCCCCCCCCCCCCCCCATCCCTAGGCCCCAGGAACTGAAGAATCCTATAGCTTTAGAAGAATGTACAAGGTCAGGGTGACACCGCCATCTTGTGGCCAAACATGAAATGTGTCACTTCTGCTGGTAAGTAGCACTGCTGCTCCAGAACCTGAAAGAGCCATAGATCTAAAAAGGGACTTTGGAAATATGGTCTAGGTTTTCTTAATCATACTGTGAGGGAAAGCCCTCCGTAAACACTCTACAAAGGTGAATCTTTATTATTATTTATGATATTAACACCAATACTCAATATGCTCTCAAAGAACACTATAAAAATGAAGGAACTGGATTAGCTGATGCCTTCCAACTTTAAAATTCTATTTTTCTGTAGTAATAATAATTGAAATTTATAGAAGTTTGAAGAACCTTGGTCCCAACACCCCTGGGAAGAAGCATGAGGGTTCAGAGAATGCTGTCTTTGTGAGTAAGGCCACATGCCAAATGTCATATGATTCTACGATACACCTGCAGCTATCAGGGCAAAATAGCAGAAAAAAAAGTTCAGGGTTAGCATGACCGAGAAAGAACAATGGCCTTAGGAGTGCAGAGATATGAGTTCAAGTCCTGGATCAGTCACTTACTAACTGATTTCTGGCAAATCACTATCCCTTCTCTGGGCCTCAGTTTACTTATCTTCAAAGGAAAGAGGTTGGGCTTAGATCACCTCTAAGACTTCTTCCAGCTCTAGAAGAAAGTCTAGAAGAAAAAGCATTACATTTATATGCAGAAGAAGAGAGGCCAAAAGAATGGTGAATTTGGGATCAGTGGGCCTGGGTTTGAGTCATAGCCAGCTGTGGGACCATAGGCAAGTTAGTTCCCTTCTCCAGGTCTTCGTTTCCTCATCTTTAAAATGGGGATAAAAATGTCTGCCCTATCTACTTTGCCAGACTATTGGGAGGAAAGCACTTTGTAAACCTTTAACCACTAACTAAGTGGAAATTATTATTATTAAAATGTGGAAAGTAATACCTGTACTCCCTGCTCCAGAGTGTTACTGTGTGGATTAAATGAGATAATGGAAATAATAATAAGCAGTAATAATAGCTAACCTTCACAAAGCACTTTGATATTTTTAAAATACTTTATACATATTACTTTATTCATAATTTGTAAACTTTAAAGTGCTAACTATACCAAAGCTTCTTAATCTTTTTTTGTGTCATGGCCCTCTTTGACAGTCTGGTAAATCCTAGAGTGCATAAAACAAATTGTGATGGATTCCAAAGGAAACCAATTATATTGAAACACTGCTATCAAAATATTTTTTAAAAACCGATTCACCCAGGTTAAGAACTCCTACACTATACCCATGTGAGCTGCTATTACCAACAGGATCCCCAAAATAACACGTCAAGGCAAGTATTTGAAATGGGGATAAGTTTTAAAGCTGAGGCTCCTCTCATTATGCTGAAGACAGGCCAGGGCCTCCAATGCTAGGAATGCCCTGGGTATTTCTCCTCCTCTTGACCTTGCCAAAGGGCACTGAGTTTCAGAGATCATACACAGCCAACCTCTCTCATATGCTAGTCACTGTTATTGGATCTAACCTATAGGACCTATAAATACAAGAG